GATGTTACAAGATTACATAGCTGTCCTAACTTGATGTTACAAGATTACATAGCTGTCCTAACATGATGTTACAAAATTACAGAATTTTCCTAACTTGATGTTACAAGATTACAGAGCTGTCCTAACTTGATGTTACAAGATTACAGAGCTGTCCTAACTTGATGTTACAAGGTTACATAGCTGTCCTAACTTGATGTTACAAGATTACATAGCTGTCCTAACTTGATGTTACAAGATTACACAGCTGTCCTAACTTGACGTTATAAGATTACAGAGCTGTTAATTTTTATTTTCTTTCATGAGGGGGGGGGAGGTTTTTGAGGTTTGTTTGAAGTGAAGCACAAAGCAACACGACGGGTATCGAAACCGTTCTAGCGTTGTACCTCTGGGGAGCGTCTTTGATTATATCTTAAAGTGGTCGACACGTCCATTCAGCTTAAGCATCCTAATCAGTAGAGTATTACCATCGGTTATGCAGGAGCAAAATGTGTTTTAATGAGGAAATTAAATGAATGTTAAACGCGTGCAGAAAAAGAAACACCACGTACAATAACCACGTCAATAACATAAAGTAATTTACGTCTTTGCAAGAGATGGATGAATTGAACGTGAAACCATGGTCCAGTTTAATAGCCTGTCGTTAGATTACTTCGTTACGTTTCTTTTCATCTGTAAGTCACTTCTCAGTTCATCACTATTTTAATACCATATTTAGAACATTCATTCGAAGTTTTCCATGCATCCCGTTACTATGACGATAGGAAAGTCATAGTTTTGACAGTATAAAAGCCCCGCCCTGCCGCGTCGTTTGTTGCAGTGGGAAGATATCACTCCTACTTATCTCATCCCATTATCCCCGTTTCTATATTAAAGAGTAAACAGCTCCTCCCCCGTGTGGGTGCCTTTCCTGCTACATATCTTCGAATTCGCTCTACCTTGTCGTGTTCACTATTCAGCAGCTCATCTTCCTCGCATCCACAGCAGCGGAAGAGGAACGTGAAATTATTTTCTAAGACTATTCCTTACGTCTTTGCAAGTAATCTTCAACCCCAAAATTCAGAGATGTTGGGCAGACTGATGTATTCCTGTCTTATAGTAGTAATTCTCCTTAATGTTTCCAACGCAGTTTATCACATGGAAACAGGTGAGTGTAATTCAACGTTACTATTTCTACAGTACGATTTAACAAATAATAACATTTGATTTCGTCACTTAAACATACTAGTGTGAATGGTTACGAAAGTTAAGTCAACAATTTGGATGGTTAAGGCAGTTAAACTAACTGGTTTCTATAGTTAAAGTAGTTAAACCAACTAGTTTCTATGGTTAAGGAAGTTAAACCAACTAGTTTCTATGGTTACTGCAGTTAAACCAACTAGTTTCTATGGTTTAGGTAGTTAAACCAACTAGTTTCTATGGTTAAGGAAGTTAAACCAACTAGTTTCTATGGTTACTGCAGTTAAGCCAACTAGTTTCTATGGTTACTGCAGTTAAACCAACTAGTTTCTATGGTTAAGGCAGTTAAACCAACTAGTTTCTATGGTTACTGTAGTTAAACCAACTAGTTTCTATGGTTACTGCAGTTAAGCCAACTAGTTTCTATGGTTACTGCAGTTAAACCAACTAGTTTCTATGGTTACTGCAGTTAAACCAACTAGTTT